ACTCTTATAAAAGAAAACATTTAATTGGCACCGGCTTACAGTTCAGAGGTTGAGTGCAATATTGTCATGGTGGGACATGGCAGCGTGCAGGCAGACAAGATGCTGGAAGGGTAGCTGAGCATTCCCCCTCTGTGTCCACAGGCTGCAGGAAGTGACGGTGAGCTGTAGTTGTGCTTCATTGTTGGGGCTGCCAGCCCACAAATAATGACACGGAGACTTATTATTAGTTGTAAAAGCTCAGCCTTAGTTTAGGCTTGTTCTTAACTAGTGAAACTTAAATTAACCCATGTTTTTAATCCCCATTCTTCCACAGGCTCGTTACCTCATCTCTGTACCACTCATCTTGCTTCTTGCACAGCTGGCTGGCCACTCCCTGTGCGCCTGGATTCTTTCTCTCCCTGGAAATCCCACCTACCCTCTCCTCAATAGCTAGTGGCCACTCAGCTATTTATTACAACCACGGCAACACATCTTCACACAGTGTACAAATATTCCTCAATAATGAGCTACTAGGCATGCTTGAGCTTCTGAGACCTCAAAGCCCACCCCTTCTAGTGACACGCCTCCTCCAACAAAGCCACCCTCAGTGAGCCTAGGGGGACCATTTTCTTTCAAACTACTACATTTATTTATTTAATTTTATTTATTTGTATGTGTATTTGGATGTGCATATAGGTGTGAGGGAGGCCAGAGGTTGACACTGGGAATCGTCTCTAGTGGCTTTCCACCTTCTATTTTTGAGACTGGGTGTCTCACTGAATCTGGAGTTCACAGATTCAGCTGAACCAGATGGGCAGCATCTTGGGGGTTCTGCCTGTTTCCACTCTGCTGGGCACTGAGGTTGCAAACGTAAACTTCCAAGTCTGGCTTTTATGTGAGTTCTGGGGAATCTTAAGAGTTTTCATGCCTGAGCAGTAAGCCCTTGACTGATAGAGGCAAGTCCTCAGCCCAGAGATTTATTTAGTATGTACACAGTGCCTAAATGCCACAAGAGGGCACCAGATCTCATTATAGATGGCTGTGAGCCACCATGTAGTTGCTGGAAATTGAATTCAGGACCTCTGGAAGAGTAGCCAGTGCTCTTAACCTCTGAGCCATTTCTCCAGCCCAGTCCAATGCCTTTTTTCTTTTCTTTCCCTTAGTCTTTGACTCTTTCATACATATATGCAGTGATGATCATACCCACCCAAAACCCCCTCCCACTCCTCCTGGAAGCTCATCAACACACCACCCTCCCATCTTTCCTTCCCATCTTCCTGTTTTCCTGTCTTTCCTTTCCTCTACCACCCTCCCTTTCTCTTTCTCCTTTTTCCTTCCCCCTCCCTTCCCTCCTTTCTTTTTCTCTCTCTCTTCCTACTGAGTTCAGCTGCCTGCTGGGATGTTGACTGATCTTGTTGACTAGATATTGGGCAGGTAACTACAGCTGCAGTGAGTTCATGAGTGTAACAGCCATGTCATGTCCAGAGTCCAGCATCTCACAGCACCTCTCCCCATCCTCTGGGTCTTACTTTGTTTCTGTTCCATCTTCCTTGATGTTCAGTGAGTCTGAGGTGTGTTAGTATCTGGTTGATATGGATGTCCCATTTATGGCTGAGCACTCAACAGTCAATATTTCTCAGTACTTTCATCACCTAGGAATCTCTGAATGGCCAACGGAACATCAGAGCTGGTAGACTAGAAAACTCAGGATTCTCTGTTTCTCAAGTCCACCATCCTGGGCATTTGTGCAGCCATTTGTAGGCAGCAGATGCTGCAGCTGTGTATGACATTGTATATAGATCTAATGTCTACAGAGACAAACAAGTAAAGTGACCTGTTTCCAAGGAGTCCTAGTTCTCTATGGCAAGACATTCAAACTGAGAACTTACAAGCAAATGCTTTTTCTCCTTAGTAAATCTAAGCCACCTAGCTGGGTCTGAACCTAAAGAATGTCCATAGGTACTCAGTCAAATGCTTTTTTATTGTAATATAAACTGTCAGTCACTATCAGCTTTCTGGGCATATAGACAAAGAGGCTCTAACGGTCTGCAGGAAGGCAGGTAAAGCAGACTGAGCCTGGAAGATTTATTCCCAAAATGTTTGCATGGCAGTTGTGAGGTGTGGGAGGATGGTGATTCAGTTTCCCCCGTGGGTGTCTCCCCGTGGACTCTTGCACAGGTGACACCAGGTTTTAAGACTGAATGTTTCCAGAGATAGGAGGATACACTACCACCCTGGGTCTAGAAAGTAGCAGTATGGTAAGCTAGTCACCAATGAACCCAGGTCTGACGTGACAGTATTCAGATGCAGAGCCAGCAATACAGGAGGCAGAGGCAGTAGGAGCAGGAACTTGAGGCTAGCTTGGGCAAGACTGGCAACACACTAAAACCCTGTCTCAAAACTAAGGAAACCCACCTAATAGAAAGTATATAAACTCCAAGGACGATGAAATAGACCATACTCCTCAATAGAGGGGTCAAAGAACGTGAGAGTTTTAACCTGTCAGTCTTTCTTTTATCTACACACTATTTACATTTTTCTTACGTGCAATAATAAAATCAGGCTCTTTTAAGACCACCAAATGCTCATTTTGTTATGAGCATCATGCTTAAGTTAGCATCCAGGATAACCTTTATTTTTAAAATTTGAGACAGGGTGGTGCAGGCTGGCCTCGAACTCCTGGGTTCAGGGCTCTAGTGATCCACTGGCTTTAGTCTCCAAAGTAACTTGGAGCATTGCACTCAGCGTAGGGCAACTTGATTTCCTATTGCATGCTAGATGCCTTTACACACTGGCTGGTCTATAACACTACAAGAGTACTGTTTGCTTTTTACATTCAAAACAGAGTTTGATCCGTTAGTTGCCCTATAAAGTCATGTATAAAATAGGTAATCTCAGTTCATTCTCATTGTTATTTTATTTATTTATTTATTTTTGAGACACAGTTTCTCTGTGTATGCCTGGCTGTCCTGGAACTCACTCCCAAGAGCAGGCTGGCCTGGAACTTAAAGATCTACCTGCCTCTGCCTCTCAGAGCTGGATTAAAGTGGTGTGCCACCACTGCCTGGCTCATTCTTATTTTTCAGAAGACATTTTTGAAAGGTTAGTGAGCAAAAGTAAAATCAGTATTTGAGGCTAAATTATTTTACTTCAAATTCAGCATGGTTTACATCTCAAATTCAGGATGGGACTCACAGTATGTTACAGGAAGGTGAGTTATGTTGACAAAGTCTATACTAAGGTGTTGGCTGTGGAAAAGAACAGATGCAGCTCACAGCTTGAATTATGGAGTTTGGTGATTGTTCAAATTTGGGAAGGGCAGAGAAAACAGAGTCAAGGATAATTTTCAGGCTTGGGAAGCAAGCTCAGAGCCTCATAGGAGTCTAAGAGAGGATGGAATAGGCAAGTGAGGAATTTATATCCATAAATGGGTCAACTAGGAAAAATTCTAGATCTGTCTGTTGGGGAAGAAACACCAGAGATAAAATATCTCAAAATAGGAATCTAGGTTTATGCTTTCAGATGTTTCAATCCAAGTTCTGATGGCTCCATGCTTTGTGCCTGAGGTTATGACAATGGGACCATGTAGCAAAAGAGCTGCTTGCCTCATGAAAGCCAGAAAGCAGGGAGGGAGAGGTACATTTCCAGTGAATTACTTCTCCCAGCTAGGACCCACCTCTTAGCGTATGCAGCTAATTCAGATATAAATTCATCAGTGGAACATTACCCCCCCTCCCCAATCCAATTATTTCTCAGTATTGACACCAGCTGGATCCAGCCCTTCAATATATGAGCCTCTGTGGAGAGACATTTCTGGAGGGATGGTTTCTTCCTGCGCCAGGTCGTTGATCAGACCAAATGGAATGTTAGGTGCCCATCTAGGTCAGAGATTTAATTCTCTTGGCCAGAAAGAACTAATTGTTCCTCAGCTCTTATTGCGGTTGCCTCACTGTGATGAAATACCTGGACAAAAACAATTCAAGGAGGGAAGGAAGGGATTATTTCGGCTCAAAATTCTCCTCATCCTGGGTCACGTGGTATTCAGTCTTGCCGGAATGAATGCTGCCTGCCGCTGGGGTCCTTTTCCATCCAGTATAAGACAGGAATAACACCGCCTGCAGTGGTCAAGCCTTATCATCTCACTAGGGGAATCACGTCTATTCCCCACCATAGGCATGCTCAGGGGTTCTAGATCGTGTCAAGATGACACCACGAACCGGCACATTTTCCTAGTGCTGAAGTCACCTTGTTTGAACTGCATGTGTGCTAAGCCACCAGGGATCTCTCAAACTGCCATATTACATGATCCTATCTTTAAAGCTCGAGCCACACCTATTTTCTTCATAAACTCTACACTCCAAAATGAAAACAAGATGTAAATTATCTTAAGTATCAGCATCATGAAGTTGCACAGAGCAGCCAGTGAGCGTTTGGGTATTTAATATTTAATGTGTTGCTTTTCCTTAGTACCTGAAGCGGGCCTTGAATTTCTGATCCTTATCTCCAAGCGCTATTACCACAGGCATGCACTACCATGTCCGGCTCATTTATGATATATTGATATGTTATTCATTAGTAAACACAAGCTTTGGGATAAATTAATGGATGAATTTGAGACAAGGGTCTCGTGCGGCTCAGGCTGGCCTTCGACAAAGTAGTATCAGATAACTTTGAATTCATGATTGTTTCCCTCTCCTACTTGGGATTATAGGAAGTGTGCTGCCACACCTGGTTCAGTTTTAAAGCAGGTTCTGTGTCTGTGCCCCCCACCCCCACGCTCCCAGAGCCTTGTTTGGTGGTATACAGCATGTGTAAAGTTGACAGAAAGGAGGACCTAACACGTTTTCTGAGATCAGGAAGTTCTTGAAGTGTGATTTTAGGAAACAAAACAAAACAAAACTGGGTGTTGGAAACCGAAAGAACATGTTTAAGAGTTTAGGTGACTGGGAACCACCTTTCCCCAGCTTGCGGTCCCTAAAAGGCCCTCGTGTCATAATTGCTCCGGGCCAGCCGGCTCGCGCTGGGCCCACATGCCTCTTCTGTGGCCTGCCATTGGCCCGGGGCGACCTCCACGTCTCTTCCGCGCACGAGGAGCCTCGCACCCGGGGCGCCACGAACCTAACAGACGCCCAGCCCGCAGCCTGGCCGCCCGTCTGGGCCGCACCCAACAGTCGCGCCGGGGGCAGGTCGCCGCAGCGCGAGGGCCTGGGATGCGGAGGCGCTGAGAGTCGTGGTCCCTAGGGTTCGGAAGATCTGGAAAATGTCTTCGGGGCATGCGCCACAGCGGCCGTTAAGTGACCCAAAACCGAAGCGGTGGACTCGGCAGCCCGGAAGGATGGGGCCCGAGCATGGCCGGGCTTCGCACGCCCAGCGAGGACCCTGAGGGCGCAGAGCGCAGGCGCGAGGCGCTGGGGCAGCCAGCGTCCAGGTGCGGAGGGTTCCCCCAGGTGCGGAGAACGGGGATGGAGCAGCGCGGCTGCGCGGGCGTCAGGGGCGGGGCCCGCAGCTTCACGGGACTGGGCGGTGCTTTGTCTGATCAGTTTGCTTTCTAGGGTGGATTTGCTTCTTATCCCCTGGGTGAGTGATGCAGGGGGTAGACGCGGGCTAGATATGGGACACTGACACCACCCCTAACCCCCAGCTGAAGTTCATAATACAAGCCAGGAAATCTCTGAAAAGCTGGTGGCTGCTGCTTGCCTACTTCAAATTAAGTTCTAGTTGATGGGAACATGTGTAGTAGGATACCAACATTCAAGTCCCAGAGTGAATTGGATCAGTGCTGTAGTATTACTGGCTTATTAGGGCACCAACGCCCCCAAGTTTATTTGATGATGTTTGAGAAGTTACTGAAAGCAGTATGGATGAGGCTGAGAATTCGAGGATGACCTTGAACTTCTGTGTGCTTTGTTACTCTCATGTGCCACCGGGTCTGGTTTTATGCGGAGTTGGGGATATACTTCATGCTTGCTAGGTAAGCATGATACCACCTGAGCAGCATCCACCACCCGAGGTTAAGGACCTTAGCAATACTTTGTATCACACTGAATTAACTGTGAAGGGCAAAACAAGAGTTGGAACTTTCAGAACCCAGTGTCAGTATCTCAGTACTTACTGGATGAATTCTGTGGGCAAGTGGTAACAGGTGAGAAGTAGGCAGAACACCTACCCCTTTTCATCTGGGCCATCATTTCTTCTAGGCGTCTCGTGTGAAAAGGGATTATTTGGCATTTACAGCTGAGTTGCCGCTGATTGTGATACAGAGCTTGGAGGATAAATCTGCATTTTTATTGTTACTATTTTTGTCACAACGGAAGTTGGAAACAAAATGGAAGTGGCAGGAAAGAACATACCGGTAAATGCGACCCTTCTTACTCACCTACGTGGGTCTCAGAGGGGTACTGTGCAGAAATGACAAACCATCCTATTTAGGCCCTTGCCTCTCCCTGGGGTGTTGAACTAAAGACTGACATCAGTGTATTGCTGGGGATGGAAGCCAGGACCTCTCTCATGCAAGACAAGTGGTCGCCCAGTAACTTACATCTCAGCCATACTTGTCTTCCTCTTTTATTGGCTATCATAACTCTAGATACAAGTTTAGTCTTGGTTTACTCCTTTATGGTACTGTAGGAGCAGTTGGCACAGCTGTTACAGATACAGCTCACATTTCTTTTTCTCTTGGATCTGCTAAGAAGGGCTATTCTGATTTAGGATTGTTCGAGTAAGAGTACTGTAGTAGGGTTTAACTCAGTGCGAGGACAGCAGAGAATGGAGATGTCTGTATATATAGAGATGTGTGCTAAGAGTAGGGTATGGGAAGATAGGGTAAGTGCTTAGGAAATCAAAAGTAAACATCCATTCAGAATCCAAACGATAGATGGTGAGGGTGGTCAGAAATCAAGGGTAGGAAATTCACTTTAAGCTGAATTAGCAGAATTCTTGCTAAAACTGGCCTGTGCTGTCCAAAGACTGGGATTCAGACAAACTCACAATCAAAGTCTCCTGGAGAGTGGCCTTAGAGAAGTTCCAGTAAAGGTTGGGAGCTGAGGGCTCTGTTGTTTGCCCAGCGTTTCCTAGCCTCCCATCTGGACCACAGTCTTTGGCAGTTCTGTAAAACAACCCCTGAAGTTTAGCTACAGGAAGCATAAAGCCCAGTTATGGCATACTGAAAAGAGGTGGTGTGGAGGGGGTGTGGTGTGGAGGGGGTGGGGTGTGGTGTGGAGGGGGTGGGGTGTGGTGTGGAGGGGGTGGGGTGTGGTGTGGAGGGGGGTGGGGTGTGGTGTGGAGGGGATGGGGTGTGGTGTGGAGGGGTTGTGGTGTGGAGGGGGTGGTAGAGAGGAGGGGTGAGGAGCGGAGGGAGTGGTAGACTGGAGAGGGTGTGGGGTGGAGGGGTGGAGGGAATGGTAGAGTGGAGGGGGTATGGAATGGAGGGGTGGTAGAGTGAAGGGGTGGAGGGGCTGTGGGGTGGAGGGGGTGTGGAGTGGAGGGGTGGTAGAGTGGAGGGGTGGAGGGGGTGTGGGGTGGAGGGTGGAGGGGTGGTAGAGTGGAGGGGTAAATGGTGGAGGGGGTGAGGGGTGGAGGGGGTGAGGGGTGGAGGGGTTGTGGGGTGGAGGGGGTATGGAGTGGAGGGGTAAGGGGTGGAGGGGGTGTGGAGTGGAGGGGTGGTAGAGTGGAGGGGTGGAGGGGTGTGGGGTGGAGAGGGTGTGGGGTGGAGGGTGGAGGGGTGGTAGAGTGGAGGGGTAAGGGGTGGAGGGGTAAGGGGTGGAGGGGGTGAGGGGTGGAGGGGGTGAGGGGTGGAGGGGGTGAGGGGTGGAGGGGTGAGGGGGTGAGGGGGTGAGGGGTGGAGGGGGTGTGGGGTGGAGGGGGTGAGGGGGTGTGGGGTGAGGGGTGAGGGGTGGAGGGGGTGTGGGGTGGAGGGGTGTGGGGTGGAGGGGTGTGGGGTGGAGGGGGTGTGGGGTGGAGGGTGGAGGGGGTGAGGGGTGGAGGGGATGTGGGGTGGAGGGGGTGAGGGGTGGAGGGGGTGTGGGGTGGAGGGGTGTGGGGTGGAGGGGTGTGGGGTGGAGGGGTGTGGGGTGGAGGGAGTTGCTGCCTGGTGACTTTAGGTTTGAGCTGTATGGAGACTGTTATTGCCTCAGTTGATTGGAGAGAAGAAATCTTTTTGTTTTCTGCTTAAATGTCTAAAGTCATGCATGATTGAGAACTTGTTGTTTCAAATCTTTCAGTGCAATAGTGTGGTTGGTGGTAATTTTGAAGAAGTTTGTCCAGAGAAGGTAATTAGGTTTAAACCACCACTATACAAACAACGGTACCAGTTTGTTAGAGATTTAGTGGATCGTCATGAACCCAAGAAGGTAATTATCTTTTTTATTTTTTAAAAAACTGTTAATATTGCCCTACTAAAGTGGTTTATCAAATATACTAGTAAGGCCAGACCTCCACCTCCTACCCCAGTGTCAGGGATTGCAAACAGGCTGTGGCATGCTGGGCCAGCACTTTCCTGCTAAGCTACATCCCCTGCCGGGAAAAGACTGATGTGGTGGTGGACAGAGTGTGGCAAATTGTAATACAAGTATAGAACTTCAAAACAGAAAAGATACGGTTGTGTATGTTGCCTAGTCTGACTTTTAACTCATACACTCAAGTGATCCTCCTGCGGCAGCTCTTGAAGCAGAGACTGTAGGTTTGCCCAGCTGAAGAAACTTCACAGTGATGATTGCAATAGGGAGAAGACCTTAAGGGAAATGGCAACATGTGTTTCAGAGTTAAGTAGTCCCCCCCCTTTCCTTTTTTTCTAACCATGGAGAAGTAAACAAAGTCACAAATTGGGAAAATCCTTTATGATAATCCCAAGAAGGGCCAGCAGCATTTTTAACATTGATGGCAGCTTAATTATAGTGAGGGAAGTTTATTTTTGGATTCAGGGTCTTAGAGCTCAAGCTGGTCTCCATCTGCACTCTGCCTCTCCATCCCAAGTTTGGGATTGTGTTTGACACTATACCTGCTGAACCGCCGGCCCCCCCCCCCCCGCCCCCAATCTGTTTTTAAATATAAGATCTGGCTATGTTGTCCTGGCTGGTCTCAAATTCTCCTGTTCTAGTGATTTCTTTTTCTTTCCTTCCTTCCTTTTTCTTCTCCTTCCTTCCTCCCCCCCCCCTTTTTTTTTCAAGACAGGGTTTCTCTCTGTGACCCTGGCTATCCTAAAAATTCCCTCTGTAGACCAGGCTGGCCTTGAACCCAGAGATCTGCCTGCCTCTATTTTCCAAGTGCTGGAATTTAAGGCGTGACTACCACGCTCATGTGTTCATGTGTGGCCTTGAGTGATTCTTGCTTTCCATTTTAGCCTTCTTTCTTTTCCCTGACAAAGTGGGGACCACAGGTATTTCCCAGCCTGGCTGGGAAGGATCATTGAGGAAAAGCTATTTCATCAGTTTGGGGAGACAGTTCAGTGGCATGGGGGTGGGCTGGGGGAGGAGCTTGAGGAAACTGGTTAAAGGAAATTTTGGGAACAAATAGAAAATGTCCACATTGAGGCAGGGAATGGAAACACGAAGTCTGAGCTAAGCCTTAATGGAGGAAGGCCTTTGCAGGGACCCCTTTCCTGGAACATGAAACATAGTGAGTCCCTTTAGCCCTGCACAGGGGGCACAGAGCTGGGGTGGAAGTCACCTTGCTAGCAGGCGAAGTGTGTGTGTGTGTGTGTGTGTGTGTGTGTGTGTGTGTGTGGCTCGACCAGCCAGCAGAGACGCTCATTGCCAAATCTCATGACCTGAGTTCAGTCCCATGATCCACCTGGTGGAAGCCAAGAGAATTGACTCCCACAAGCTCCCTGATTGCCACCCATGTGCTCTGGTAAGCAAGGGAAAACACAACAGCACAAAAAAGGAATTCTTCTTTACTATTTTTTTTCTTTAAAAAAAGATTTATTTGTAGCTGGGTGTGGTGGCACATGCCTTTGATCCCTGAGTTCCATGCCATCCTTGTCTACAGAGTGAATTTTGGGACAGCTAGGGCTACACAGAGAAACCCTGTCTGAACAACTGAAAAATCTATTTCTCTGTCCCCCTGTCTCATTCTTTCTCTGTCTCTCTCTGTCTCTGTCTCTCTCTGTCTCTCTGTCTCTCTCTGTCTCTCTGTCTCTCTCTCTTTCTCTCTCTGCCAGTGTGATGCCAGAGGAGATCAGATTGTCTGGAACTGGAGTTACAGGCAGTGTTTGCTATCTGATGTGGATGGATACTGGGAACTGAAACTGGTTTCTCTGAAAGAGCAGCCAGCAGTCTTATATTTTTGGTTGTGAGCCTAGCCTTTAACGGCTGAGCCATCTCTCCAGCCCCAGCAGCCAGCATTCTTAACTTCTGAACCACTTCTCTGGACCCTTTCACTAACATTTAAATGTGAGAGAAATCTTGATTTTTTTTTTTTTTTCTAGCTGGTTTTAATGCTACAGATTCCACATTTCAGGAATGTTCAGTTGTAATATCAGGTGGTATTGTGGTCAGAAGTACTGTGGTTCTTTTCATACTAGATGAGTAAATGGGCCAGGATGGCACATGTATCTAACCCTAGGTGAACTTTGCAGAGGCAGGAGGATTGCTTAAGCTCTGGAGTTTGATGTCAGCCTTCGCTACATAGTGGGAGTCTAACTTAAAAGCAAAAACTGACCAAACAAACAAACAAACAAAACAGTGGCACCTCAAGTGATAATGGGCCTGTCCATCAGCTTTGGGGCAAAGTCATAGTTTCATAGACTAAAGTACCTAGTTATTATGCTAGTGGGCTTGGCATGGCAGGAGATTCTGGTAAGGTGGTTCTTTCTCTGCTCAGTGGTGAGGACTGGGTTAAGAGGACTTCTCTTACTGGCTTCCTTTAATTGCTTCAGCTATTTTGCAAATGTTCACACACCTGTCTTAGTAGCCTTTTAAGCAAATCTGTTCGCTTGAAGGGTCTGAAGTGTCCCCGTCCTCTGCCCCCCTCGCTTTTGGCAGCTCAATATGGAATTTCATATGGCTCAATATGACTGTTTTCCTAAATAATTTGAGATTGAGGGCTGGGGATATAGCTGAGTTGGTAGAATGCTTGTCTAGCATGCACAAAGCCCCGAGTTTGACCTCTTGTAAAATGGCACAGTGGTGCGTACTGTAATCCCAGAATTCTTAGTACTCAGGATGTGGTTTGGCTACATATCAAGTTTGAGGCCAGCCTAGGCCACAGGAGACCCCGTCTCAATAAGTAGATTAATGCATAAACTTAAAAAAAGATTAAGAAATTAAGTTACTCTGTGAGAAGGGAATGGAAGCAGAGTTTTAGCAAGCTTTGTTTCTGAAGCATAATGCTAAAACTCCAACCCCTGCTGGGCATGGTGTCACAGACTTGTGCTCTCAACATACTCAGGCAGAGGAAGGAGTGGAGAGTAACAGAGAAAGACACCCAGTGTTGACCTTTTCTGAGCCTCCACCCACACGTGCGTGCATGGGTGCATGTTTTTTGAGATAGGTTTCTCATGGAACTTGGATCTCTCAGATTTGGCTAGGCTGCAAGTAGGATTACAGGTACCTTCTGCTTCATAATGACTTTCTGACTTTATATATGGGTGGTCCTCATTCTTGCACTTCAGTAACTGGACCATCTTCCTAGACACCCTCTTGATTTATTTTTTGAGACAGGGTTTCTCTGTGTAACAATCCTGGCTGATATGAAACTCACTTTGTAGACCAGGCTGGCCTTGAACTCAGAGAAACCCTCCTTCCTCTGCCTGAGTATGTTGAGCTCTGCCTGGGATCAAAGGCATGCATCACCACTGCCTGGTCCCTCTAGTTTACTTTTCTGGCTCTGAATGTTTTACAAATGACATTGTCTTTATTTATAGGTTGCAGACCTGGGATGTGGCGATACCAAGCTCCTAAAGCTGCTAAAAATCTACCCATGCATTCAACTGCTTGTTGGGGTAGATATCAATGAAGAAAAATTACATTCAAATGGGTAATGCTTCCAGTGCTGTGGTTTGGATGTGTTTCATCTCCTAAAGGTGCTTCTGTTGGAAGCCTGGTCCCCAGAGTGGTGGTGGAGCTCTTGAGAGGTGGGGTATAGTCATAGGTCATGGGGTTCTTCCCTAAGAAATAGATTCTCCCTCTTTTATGAGAGAAGATATTATGACATAGCGTAGGCATCCTCATCTTCAATTTGCAGGGTGCCACCACACCTGGCTTTATTACCTATCTTTTCAGCTGTGGGTTAAGTCTCATGACTGCATCAGCTCCGAGGGAGGGTTTTAGCTCATGTTTAGTACCTCCACACCACATTTGCCTTTCTGCTTCTCTGATGCATGTTAGATTTCTAGATCCTTTTGAAACCTGCTCTTCTAAAGAGCTGAAATATCTCTCTTCCAAAGAGAGGCAGAGTCTGAGAATGAGAACAATATGGAAAGTTTAAAATCATATACTTAGTGGCCCAACTTCCTACTGTGGAAGGAAGCTGCCCTGTGGCTTAGAGTTTAGTACAAGAAGAGAAAAACCAGCTGAGTAGGACTCACATCAGTGTAGTCAAAAGGTGATGATCAGAGGACCCGGGTTCTACAGCTGTGAGAGCTCCTTCTCCTTTTACTTTTGTGGTTCTGGGAATTACAGTTGTAAATCTATACACACCAAAGCAGGACTTTGGGTTTCAGGGCCTCTCCTCATACAGCTAGATATGACCTCTGCCCCTGAGCCATATCCCCAGCCCTGATTGCTGAGTCGGTTGTTTGCAATTGTTGCTGACTGATGACTCTCTTGCAGGCATCACTTGTCTCCCTATTTGGGGGAATTTGTAAAACCCCGAGATCTAGATTTGACTGTCACCTTGTATCATGGCTCTGTTGTGGAGAGAGACTCTCGCTTGCTTGGATTCGACTTGATAACATGCATTGAATTGTAAGTCTGAAAGTTGTATCAGCTGTCCATTTTGAAAAATATGAAGGGATTAACCTCAGTAATGAATGTGATTATTTGTAAGTAGTATACTCATCAGTTGGGAGTATCTTTTTCCTTTTATTGTTTTACTTGAGAATTCCAAATATGAAGATAATTCCAAAAACACATTTACATACTCATTACATAGTCACTGGTTAATGCTTCCCTTCTATTCCTTATCATATTAAATATGCATTCTCTTTCTCTACACTGCTTTCCCCTTTTGAAATAAGAAGGTTATATCTATAGGCCTTTGTTCCTGTTTAAAACTTTCATTTGTGGGGCTGGAGAGACGTCTCAGTGGCTAAGAACACTTGTTCTTGCAGAAGATATGGGTTCAATTCCCAGCCCACATTGTAGCTAACATCCCTCTATAACTCTATTGCATGGGCACCAACTCCCTCTTTTGAATTCCCAGTGCAGATGGTTTGCAAACAAAACAGTCACACACATAAAAATAAAGAAATTAATTTATTTCTTTTTTTATAATGTATTTCGTTTTTAGACATTCACTTTTATGTGTGTCTTTGCCTGAATGCATGTCTCTGTGCCATGTGTGTGTGCAGTGCCTGAGGAGGTTAAAGAGGGATTGAATTCCTTGGGACTGGAATCACAGACAGGTAACAGTTGTGAGCCACCATATGGGCACTGGGAATCAAACTGATCCTCTGGAAGAGCAGCCAGTGCTCTTAACCACTGAACTATCTCTCCAGCTCCTTTCACCACCTTCTTCTCCTTCTCTCCCCTTCCCCTCCCCCGCTCCACCCAGGATGGCCTGGAACTTGCTGTATATAATCTTGAATTTCTCCTCCTCCTTGCCCCTAACTCCCAAGTGCTGGATTAGTGGTGTTACCACCATGATCAATTTTATGTGGCATTGAGGATTGAAATCAGTGTTTTGTGTCCTTCAGGGTTTCTGTTGCCTTTGATTTGTACTCTTATTCCACTGGGATCAGACAGGACAGGGAAACATTTCAGTTTTTCTATATTTGTGAGATGTGCTTCATGTCCTAATATATGATCTACTTTAGGGAACGTTCTATGGGCTTCTGGGAAGGAGGTGTATGCTGACGTATTTGGATGGAATAGTCTACAAATTGTTAAGTCATTTTGAGCTATGAGTAATTTAATTCATTTGTTTCTTTTGTTGGGATGGTCTGTCATTTGGTAAGAGTTGGGTATTGATGATACTTATGTTGTGCTGGGGTTAATCTGTGATGTCACATTTAGTAGTATTTGGCAATGCCTTTAAAAAATAATTGTCTTATCTTTTGAGATGTTGTTCTCCCCCCCCACTCCAAGCCCTCCCACGTGTAGCGAGATATTCACTTTGTCTGTACCTGTGGCACTGACCACGCCCACTGGGGGTGGGGACAGGGGTGGACATGAAACTAGGGGAAACTGGGGCCTGGGGAAGGCCTCCCCCCCCATAGTGCTCTCTTGTTTGCTGGACTGGATGGGGACAGAGAACATCCAGAGGCATCCTTGGGACCAGGAACCTGCTGGTGTTTATCTGTCTCTGTTGAAGTTATTTCTCCCTGAATAAACATCTATTCAGCCTGTTTTTTTCCAGTCCTTATTAAACCACGATACCCATGAATCGTATTTGTTTGAGGTGTTGGATCTTATGATACAGGGCATTGCCCCTGAGCCCCAGCTCAAGTCCTCCACACTTTTGTTATCACTTGAGTTACAGATGTACAGACCCTTCGTGGGATTGGGTACAAAGCACCGTTCTGTTCAACCAGGCTCACTAATTCTATACCTTTGGTTCCATTTACTTAGGCTTTGCTTCTCTGTGTAACTTCCTATATGCATTTTTTCATAGGATCCACTTGAGAATACATTGAACACAATGGCCCGTTACCCATAAATACCTGTATTTTAAAGATATTTCCCTAAACATTTTTATTAGATTGTGTGTGTGTTCCTGAACTCATATTTTTAGGCTTGAAGGCGAGCACCTTTAACCTATTAGCCACATTGCAGGCCCTTCAACATTTTTTCTAAGATGGAATGATTTGAGCCAATCAGATGGCTCAGCAGAAAAAGGCAGTTGGCTATGTCAGTCTACAGACCTGTGTTCAATTTCCAGAACTCTTGTAAAGACAGAAGGAGAGAACTGGTTTTCAGTGTTGTACTCTGGTCTCCATTTATGGCACACGTATATCTTCCTCACACACACACACACACACACACACACACACACACACACACTAATAATAATAATAATAAAAATTAAAAAAAATAAGATTGTGTGCTTCCTCTTATGTAGCCATAGTATGCTGTTCTATAGTAGTCTATATCCAACATTCACAACTCAGTTGTTCTAGTGATATCTTTTATAGCTATTTTCAAATAAAGTTATTTAAAATGTGGATTTTGTTTTTTTTTTTTTTTTGGCACTTTTTGAGACAGGGTCTCTTTATGTACCCCTGGCTGTCCTGGAGCTCACAGAGATCTGCCTGCCTCTGTGCTGGGATTAAAGGTTTGCTCCGCTACATCCAGTCTGGGGATTTTAGTATGGATGTTGGGAACAGGTTTGTTTCATCTTTTTTTTTCGCCCTAGAATATCATCCCTTAATCTGGATTCACCTTAGTATTTCAATGCTAGATTTAGAGGATGCTTCTTTCTCTCTTCTCTCTCTCTCTCTCTCTTTCTTTCTTTTTGGTTTTTGTTTTTGGAGACAGGGTTTCTCTGTGGTTTTGGAGCCTGTCCTGAAACTAGGTCTTATAGACCAGGCTGGTCTTGAACTGCCCTGCCTGCCTCTGCCTCCGGAGTGCTGGGATCAAAGGCGTGTGCCACCACTGCTCAGTGTAGAGGATACTTTTTTTTTCTTTTCAGGATAGGGTATTGATCAAGTGCTTCATGCATGCTAAGTGGATGCTGTAGCTCTCATCTCTACCTGCTGTCTCAGGGAATACATTCATGCACTCGTGTGTGTGTGTGTGTGTGTGTGTGTGTGTGTGTGTGTGTGTGTGTACATGCACTCATGAACATAAATGCGTGGGTGCTGGAGACTAGAGTTTGATGTCCTCCTGTGTCTGCATTTTTTTCTTTTTCCTTTCCTTTGTTCCTTCCTTCTTCCTTCCTTCCTTCCTTCCTTCCTTCCTTTCTTTCTTTCTTTCTCTTTTTGAGATAGGATTTCTCTGTGTAGCCCTAGCTGTCCTTGAAACTCACTCTGTAGACCAGGCTGGCCTCGAACTCATAGAGATCTGTTTGCCTCTGACTCCCGAGTGCTGGGAATAAATGTGTGCCATCATGCCTGTTTTTGAGGTGGACTTTCAATGACCCTGAGTCTTGCTGGTTGGCTACACTCACTGGCCAACAAGCCCAAGAGATCTTTTGATCTTTGCCTCACCAGCATTGGGGTAGTAGATGTATGTTCCCATGCCAGATTTTTCCTGAGTACAGGGTATCTGAACTTCTAGCCCCAAGCTAGAAGAGGGCATCAGATCCCCTGGAGCTGGAGTTCAGGTGGTTGTGAGTCACCTAACATGGGTGCTGCAAACCAAACTTGGGTCCTCTGTGAGAGCAGTGTGTGCTCATAATTGTTGAGCTATCTCTGCAGTTGTCAGTCATCTTTGAAAAGAGCTCATAGAGGAAATGAATTTTGGGGGCATCAAATCAAGGGATGCATGTGCTCAGATACTTTTTTTATTTTTAAAGGAACATTGCTATGAGTTCTATAGAGGGCAACAGAGGGTCTTAGTTGATGGATCATCCTCGGCAATGATGGGAGTGGGAAGGATTCAAACATAAGAACAATTGCTCATGGGTTGTGGACTGTAGCATTATCAAAGAAAGGAGAAACCAACATCCAAGTAGGAATTATTTTTGCCAAGTCAATTAGGAAAATACATCCAAGTGAAGCCATGTTAATTCTATTGTTTTTTTTTTTTTTTTTTTATTAACCGCTTTAGAATAGAACATTTGAATTCAGATGATCTGGCCAGATTTCCTGAAGTGGTGTTTGGATACCTGTCACCATCCATGATCGTCATCAGCACACCAAATGCTGAATTCAACCCCCTGTTTCCCACAGTGACCCTGAGGGATGCAGATCATAAGTTTGAGTGGAGCAGGATGGAGTTTCAGACCTGGTAAGTTCAGAATGTTTGCTTGTTGTTTGTTCATTTGGTAGGAACCCTGTTGTAGGAAGTAAGCTTTGATCTGTCTGTCTTACCTCACCTGTTTGTTACTTGTTCCTGCAAGATCTCCACATGTGACTTATGATGTAGTCAGATCACAAGGAAAGCAGCACATTTGGGCATCAGGGGAAAATAGTGTGTGCTTACTGGGTGTGGGCTGTGAGGTGATGGCTTCTTGGCTCGCGTACTCTGCCCGTCCCATAGCCTCCCTTTCCTCTTCCCATGTTGACTTGGAGACTGAAAATGTGTTACTGACCCCCCACCCCGCACAGAAGTCAGGCATCCTGGTGATACGCTCGTGTTCAACTTTAGAATTTTTTTTTTTTAAATGAGGTTATGTCTCCTTATATAGCTCAAGCTAGCTTTAAACTTCTTACCCTTCTGCCTTATTTATGATAGGCACGTGCCTCTATGCTTGACTTAGAAATGTTTTGATTCATATATTTTCTGTGTTTCTGAAAACTGCTGACAAGAAGTCATTTATGAGTTTATGAAGCTGTTTAATCAAAACTGTATGTTCAGAGAGCTGATTTCTCTTTGTTTGATTTCAGGGCTTCACGAGTTGCAAACTGTTACAATTACTGTGTGGAGTTTACTGGGGTAGGGACACCACCAGCTGGATCCGAGCATGTTGGATATTGTACCCAGATAGGTGTCTTTAGGAAAAACAGTGGGAAGCTAGCTGAACCCTTTGTTTCACAGCAGCATGACCAGCATGTGTACAAAGCTGTGAGTATTCTATGGGAAGTAGCTGTCAGGGCTAGAAGTTCATGGGTCAGCATGATGGCTGGTGAGACAAGGACTCCTATTACAACTGTTGTTCTTTTGCTGCAGCTAATGCCTAAGAAACACAAACACAAGTCTCAGCGCCCACATGGAGTTTATTGAGAGAAGGGAGAGAAAGAGGGGGTAGCTGGTGGCCAACCAAAAGCAAGAGAGAGAGAGCGAGCGGGGGGGGGGGGCAGAGAGAGAGAGAGCGCAAGAGAACAAGAGAGAACAAGAGAGAGCAAGAGAGAGAAAACCAGAGAGAGGTGCTCTTGGCACACTTGCTTTAAAAGGGGGGCTTGGTCATGCGTAACTGAGTCCTCTGGCAGCCAGGTAAAGCTTGAGCCGCCAGGTAAGGGCCAGGTAAGGCTGACATAGCGATGACACAGCCATGAGCGTCCCGCCCATTGTTGGGGGCGGGGTCACCTGGCTGCTAGTTCCTAACAACCACCACCACCACCACCATCATCACCACCACCTCTACCATTACCACCACCACCACCACCACTACCATTACCACCACCATCACCACCACCACCATCACCACCATCATCACCACCACCCCACCATCACTACCACCACCACCACCACCACCATCACCACCACCATCACCACCACCACCACCATCACCACCACCATCACCACCACCACCACCATCACTACCACCCTATCATCACCACCACCACCACCACCATCACCACCACCATCACCATCACCACCTCCACCACCACCACCACCTCCACCACCACCACCACCACCACCACCACCACCACCATCACCACCACCACCACCTCCACCACCATCACCACCACCTCCACCATCACCATCACCACCACCACCATCACCACCACCACCACCACCACCACCACCATCACCACCACCACCACCATCACTACCACCCTACCATCACCACCATCACCACCACCACCACCACCACCACCACCACCACCATCACCACCACCACCATTACCACCACCACCATCACTACCACCCTACCATCACCACCATCACCACCACCACCATCACCACCACCATTACCATCACCACTCCTTCCTTTTGTCCTTCTTTATATTCCTCTCCCCTCCCCTGCTTCTTTCTTTTCCTTCCTTATCCCTATCCCCCTTCTCCCTTTTTTCTTTCTTTCTCTCTCCCCCCTCCTTCCTCCCTTCTCTTTTTCTTCATTACTAGTCTCAAAAGTAGAAAGGAGTTTTTTGTTTTTGTTTTCTTGCCTTTGTTTCTTCTCTCTTTCTGTGTCTTTCTTACAGGGTCTCACTATATAGCCCTGGCTGGCCTAGAACTTGCTATATAGACAAAGCTGGCTTTGAACTCACAAAGATCCCCCTGCCTCTACCTCCCAAGCACTAGGGTCAAAGGTGGCACTGCCACACTTTGCTAAGTGATCTAATTTTGAGGTTCACCATGGAAAGATGGTCCATGCTCCTTGAGTCCTGGCAGGCTTGGCCTATGGCATCCTTTCAGACTGCCTGGCCCCTTGGCATTATGTGACAAAGAACAGTTTGTTGGAGGTCGTCTTAGGGGTGTTTCAAAGTAGGACTTCTCCCTCCTTTGTAATCTCTTAGAATTGTCAGCAATAAAGGGAAAACTATTAGTATTTCCTCTCCAGCCTGTGATGCATGAACACACACACACACACACACACACACACACACACACACACACACACACACACCCCTCATTTTTCAAAAGAATACATTCTTCCCTTGATGGAATAATTTTCATTTATTTTTAATTTTCCTTTGGCCTGTATGTCATCTTGTTGCCTAGAGTGGTCTTGATCTCTTGGACCAGTAGTTCTCCTGCCTGAGCCTCTGAAGGAGCTGGGGCTAGAGGCATGTACCACTGACTCTAGATTGAGCCCTTTTTCTTTTTACACTAATTTCCATGTGATATCAAGTAGCAGAAAGACTGGTTTACGATTTTGACTAGGCTTTCAACCTCTGTTAACTCCAGTCCCTCCAGATCTAACGCCCTCTTCTGGCCTCAGTGGGTACGAGTCACACGTATGTTGCACAGATTTATGTGCAGACAAAACACTCATCGACACCAAATGATAAAAGGAATACTGGGTTAGTGCCTGTTGGGAGAAACATACCTGGGATATAGTTGCCATTAGAATCGGAAGCAAAACAGTTAGCTAGGCACATCTATTTGACTTCCAATAAAATTGAGGCGTTTACAATGAGTACATTCTCACACATGCAGGATGTACACATAGTTGTTCTGATGTAGCCGAATTGCTGAAGGTTTAAACGAGCTTCCTGTACTGTTTGGTTTTTCTTCCCTTCAGGTTTATACGACCTCTTACCCGAGTTTGCAGCAGGAAAAGGTGCTCAAGTTTGTACTGGTTGGGGAACTCCTGATACAAGTGGAACGCCTGAGGTTGAAACACCAACGGATGCTGAGGGACCAAGAGAAGGAATTGGACCCTAAGCCCTCGGACACAGACTTCTCCCAGGCCTCCCACCTACTGTTGGGAGAGGCCTTCACAGAGGCCGAAAAGGCCAGGATAGAAAATTCCCCCCAACCCTTCTGTGAAGGAGAGAAGTTTTGCATACCCCTGCGGAGACTGCTTGCTTATCCCAAGCTGCACCGCTTATGTGTTGCCGAGGAGAGGATGCGGTCCCTCATCGCTGACTCAGTGTGCTTAAGCAATGATGGTTCTGCGGTAGTGGTTGACCTGCACAATTCTTGGGATTATTGGCCTGAAGATAACTGAGTCATCTGACTTTCCCAAAGCTCAGAGTCTCGCTGATAGTTAAATTGGCTTAGAATACAAACTTCTTTGGTTTTGTGGTACTGGGAATTGAACTCGGGTCCTTGTGCATGGTAAGCAAGCACTCTGCCACTGAGCTACATCCTCAGCCCTAGGATTTAAACTTTGTACAGTCATAATTCAAGTAATATTTTGAAAATTTTAACGCAGATCGAGCCCTGAGCTCATTGACAGATCCGCCTGACATAGGCTGTTCTTCACCTGAGAAAGGGCTTAACTAAAGTAGTTGCTTTCCTCTAAAATTGGATTTTTTTTTTTTTAAATTTGGTGTTTACAAGAATGAAGAAATTGGATGTGGTAATATGTTAATTTTGTCCTCACCTATATTTTGGTGTTAGAGCCCTATGTTGAATGTGACATTAAAACATTTAAATGTAATCAAAGCCACTTGAGAACCTTTCCCAGGGCTGGGCATAGAGGCCCTTATCTGTAATCCTAGCACCTGGATGGATGGCATAGGAAGATCATGGGTTTGAGGTCAGCCTGGGCTACACAGAGAGACCCTGTCTCAAAAATCAAAAACCAGTTCCTCCGCCGTTCCAGGGGTGATGTAGCTTTAAAATCTAGGATCATCCTTTTACTTTGCATAAAACATTGTATGAAAAAGGAACGTGGGTGTTCTTTGAAGGGTATAGAAATCTCCTGCGGTAGTCCCTCTTCATGTTGTGTGTGCATGCATGCATGTATATGTGTGTGTGTGGTGCTAGAGGTTGAATCCCAGGGCTTTGTACATTTTAGGCAAGTACTCTACCATTGAGCTACACCCTCACCCATGTATGAATACCCTCCCAGAGCTTTCTGGCTGGAATTGGGGTGGCAGTTAGCTGCAGGAGAGAGAAATGCAGCTTTGTTTAATGAAAGAGAAAAGGGGCCGAGGGGATATGCTTGTGTGAGGTATGGGAGTCTGGAGGTTAAGTCTCCAGGCATGGCTGCTCTGCAGTGTCAGCCCCTGGTGTCCATTTTGGTAACTGTGGCAGAGATGGTGGGGTTCCCACTTGCATAGTCTGCACTCTAGGAAGGAAGAGAGGTGGAGCTCAGCTGCCCAGTGTACTGCTGCCTGTTGCTAGGCAACACTGCTGCCACTTCCTGTGGGACAGTGAGGGAAGTTGAGAAGTGTAGTCTATGAGAAGTGCAGTCTATATTCTAAGAAGCCACATGCATACTCAGTCATCTCCCAAGGAAGTATAAGAAAATGGACATGTTGACACATTTTCTTATCTCCCTGTGGCTGTTCTGTGGCTACCGAGTTGGTCTCTGGGCAAGAGCTCTGTGGACATTTATCCTTAAGCTGAGCCTTCAAGGGTTAATAATCAGTGGGGAGAAGGTTTTTATAGAGAAAAACCTTAATCACGCAGGCACTGCTAACTAGCTGCCCTCTTTGAATCTTGTAGACTAGTCCATCAGATTTCCATGTGGGCCAGCTTGACCTAGATAGAGATTTGCATTCCTCTCCACATCCTAATGCTGTCTCCATCTTCCTAAGTTCACGCCCGAGGTTTGCTTTGGGCTCCTTGCTCATCACAGCTCTATGCTGAAGTCATATTTTCTAGCCAGGTAAAGCCCTTGGCCATATCTTCTCCAAAGTTAGTCCATCTCTTGACACCTGATGACTTGAGCCCTCACCCACAAACCCTGCCTGTGCTTACAACTACTCTGGGGACTAGAACTGCTCTTTCTTGTGTATCTACATTTCCTGCACTGACCTCTCCCTCTTCCCCAGGGCTGCAAACCTGCTAGGCAAATGCTCTATCACTGAGCCACACTTCTAGCCCTGGGCTTGTACTTACATTCTTAGTTTGTGTTCACTTCCCACTTTGATAAATGCCTTTCTTTGCACATTGGAAGGTTTAGATTGTAGCTGTCTGCTCTCTTCTCTTTCCTTTGGTGCTGGGGATGTGCTGGTGCTCTACCACTGAGCCTTGTCCCCCAGCACAGGCCCTTGTTCTAAAGCCATCCATACCCTTACCCTTTCGCAGCACACAAACACCCTCTTTCTAAAGAGTGAGGAAACTAGAGACTTCAATAAATGCAGAATGCAAGCTGGGTTTAGTGGCAGGGGGTTGTGTGCCTGTAATCCCAGCATTTGGGAAGTGGAGACAGAGGTTCAGAAGTAGAGCCATCCTTGGCTATCTAGTGAGTTTGAAATCACCCTGGGGTACACGGAGGCTCTGTTTCAAGAAAAACACAAACCAAATATAACCCTCTCCATACATACAGTAAAAACCAAATGCAGAAAACAATCAGGTTTGCTAGGGGGATTTTGCCCTAATTATGTGTAAAATGAGTTGTAACAGCCGTAATTGGAAGCCCTTATATATTCTAAAGAGAGACTATTGTAGTACTGACCCAGATAGCTAGTGTTGTCATCAAAATTGTTTTTTAGATTGAATAGCCAGCCAAACACCTGGCAACCTTCAAGAAACAAGTAGAACAGTCCAAACACACAACCTAGCACTAACCCAGTCCCCTCTGCCCTCTACAGAACATTTACATTGTCCTAAGCAGACTACACACACACACACACACACACACACACACACACTCACACACTGCAGAGTGGAAACTTGCTGAAACAGTGTCTTCTCCAGTCATTGCCTCTAACCTGTCACCTGTGAGCCCTTCACTCTCACATCACAGCCCATTTGAACCTTGCTCTCAGAGTTCAATGTTGAGTGACAGATCTCTTCCTTCCTATTCCATCCCTGTCTGGGAATTTTCAGGGAGTGTCCTAAGAAATCAAACTTGGAAAATGCACTCTTTGAGGCCCCAATGCCTCATCCTGCCTTCACACCTGAAACCCACAAGCCTTGGAATGGGGGAGCTTTTTTATGTTCTATTATTATCTGGAGACATTTAAGAACATCTTTGTGCTGGAATACAATCCAGTCAATAAGCAGGTGCTTTGCAGAACTCTACCCCAGCCACAAGTGTCTGTGTAATCTTAGTCCACTTCCCTTTTTTCCCACTGGGAGCTCCTCGTAGGAGGCAGAGACAAATTCCAGGTCAGCCTGGTCTACACTGGATGCTATAGAGCAGCTACGGCTACATAGTGTGATCCTGCCTACAAACAAACAAACAAACAAACAAACAAACAAACAACCAAAAAAAGACCCAAACAAAGGAATAAAAACTGTGCAGATTATTTCCCTTATAACAACCATAACAATTTAAATTATGAAAGGAGAAATATAGTTCAGAACTCTATAATCTAATCCTCAGTACCCACCATCTCGTAGCCTCCTGGGGGCTCCTGGCTTCTCCCATTCATTAATTGCTTTTTGAAGAGCAGATCTGCCCACACTTTTGCATAAAATCCAGTTGATTGCCTATGTTTTATTTCAACTTCCCCCAAATGGCCTAAGTGCATGAAGTTTGTTCTTTTACTAATAGATATTTTAAATATTCATTTTTTAATGTCTTATGGTTATTTGTGTGTATCTGTATGTATGCACATGTATGTGCAGGTATCTGTGGAGGTTAAAAGGGGACAGTGGTCCCCCTGGAGCTGGAGTTCCAGGCAGTTGTGAGCCACCCAATGTGGGAGCTGAGATTGGATTCCAGTCCTGTACAAGAACAAGTGCTTTTAACCACTGAACCTTCTTTTTAGCCCATACTGTATATTTCTGATGCAGCTTTGTCATTAGAAGTTTATAAATGCAACTGGATGTGCTCCATTCTGTATCAACATGTTCTTTTACAAAACATTGATAGTTGTGTATAGAAATTCATGGTAAAAATCCTCAATTGTTCTATTTAAAAACTATTATTTTTGTGTGTAGGGTGGTTTGCTTGCATTTGTCTCTGTGAACTATGCGCATACAGTGCCCTTAGAGGCCAGAAGAGGGGCATAGGATTCCCTGGGACTGGAGTTAAAGACAGTTGTGAACTGTAACATGGGTGTTGGGAATTAAACCTTGGTCTTCTGGAAGAGCAGCCAGATCTTTTAACCACTGGCCAACTCCACCAACTCCCAATTACTTTTGAGAATGTAAAGAAATGTTCCTAAAGAGCTTGCCCTTCCTATCCCTTCCTAGAGACAACTAACGAATACTCCTTGTTCTCAATTCACTAAGTGTAGACTCCAGTTTTGCAAGGACTAATGGTCTTTTGGGGGGGGGGGACAGGTTTGTTTCTTACCCCACAATTCCCCACCCCAGGTATTTCACGTGAATGGGTCACATAGCTTTAAAAAATTACTTATTTAGTTTGCCCTGTGGCTGGTGCCTGAGGGCAGAAGAGGGCATGAGATCCCCTGGAACTGGGGTGGCAGACAGTTGTGAACCACCATGTGGGTGATGGGACTTGAACCCAGATCTCTGGAAAAGCAGTTGGCACTGAGCAATCCCGTGGGCCACATAGTTGCAGAGTAATTTAAGATGTCTGTTCTCCATGATTAAACTGCTCTGTGTGGCAATGAAGAATATGGTTTTGTAGGAGGCAGAATTTTACCTACACATTTGACTAAGTTTTCACTGCCACTCAGCAGAGTCAACATTCCCAGACAGACTATGTATGAAACATGTTACCGGCCACAGCCTCCAACTTCTGCTTCCAGCCTGGGCAGCTCTAAAACCTAGCTTTCTGCTAATACTACAAAAATACTGAGGTAGCTAAAAGGAGAAAGGTTTTGTTTCAGCTTTCTGTCTGGGAACTTCCTGTCTGAGATAATTTCATTCTGTTGTTTTGGGCCTGTGGCAAGGCAGCACATGTTGGTCAGCCCTCAAGGTACAGCAAAACCACTCCCTTTGTAGCCAGGAAGCAAAAGAGAGGAAGGAACCATGGTCTCAAGTCTGTCAAGGCACCCCCACCCCCAGTGACGTAAGATCTTCCGTGATGTTCCACTTCCTAAAGGTTATGTGATTTCCCAGCAGCACCACCCTGGGGGCTCTCTGGGAGACATTCAAGATGGAAATGAAATGATAGCAAGAACTTTGGATGATTTCTGTGATTTCACAGAGGCATTCTTTGAGTTCAAGTTTTTTTGCTTATCATTTGCATGTGAGACCTCCGTGAGACTCTCACAGCAGCAGACGGT